CTGGTTCAATCAACAAGAAAGTAATTTTTTTTTGACAAAACAAAAAATATCTTGTAAAAGAAGGAAAACAAATTATTTGCACACTTTCCCTGTCATATGCTGTTACTTGTAAAGAGAAATTCAGAAGTTTTTTTAGTTGAAATCATTTAGAACTTTTTAAGTTCCATCTCTAACCTGCATGTATGTGGTGCTTTACAAATGCAGATGTTGCCATCAAAAATTTTCCAAGCTTATCAAACTAATATGATAACTAATCAGATAATGCAATCCTGTGAGTCCTTGGGTAAAGAGAAGTTTTGTTTAGTAAGTATTCAGCAATTTATATGGTCCTAAAATACCATTTCCACAGACAGGGGCTGTAGAGCAGAATCCTTCAGGACACAACCTCCTGTAACCACTCTCAGCAGCTAGTCCCATATACTAGGACAAAACGAGTGCCCAGCACAACCCCATCTTCCTGCCTTGGAGTGGGATTTGGCTGGTGCCTTACAGACATCTGTCCTTTCACACACTACCCTCCTGCCCAGACATTACTCTAAGTAGCATTTCTTGGAGAACATCTCTAAAGGTTGTAAACATCCCATCCTTCCCTACTGTGTTCAGTTAGGACTAAAGATGATGAGTTAACCTTTGGCCTTTAAAATAATCACCTATTATATTATTTTCTCTTTTGCACACACTATTAAAATTTTTCCATTTGATAATGTCTATTTAACAAAAAACCCCTCACAGAGACAAAAAATAAATCAATTCCAAAACAAGGGAGTAGGTATCTGGTGCCTCAGGCAGAATGGCTTGTCTGTGAAGGAAAATGAGGACTAGCACAGGGTTTGGCTGGGAAACACACGAAAGGCCACAGTATTGAGCCCTAAAAATACAAACAGCATAAAAATTCCCACAGCTTACCTTTGTCTCAAAGAAATGGGGATTATCAACAAGATTCAGAGACTTCCGGTGTGTGTTCAGAACTTTAGTGGGAAGAGACATAGACACAGCTGGAAAACAAAGCCATCAGGAAGAAAAAAAAAAAAAGTCCATTTCAGTAACATGGAAATCGAAAACACCTACATGAAGCAACTATACTAGGTAAAAACAGACACACCTCCAAGACTCAAAATACAGAGGCAACGCTTCTGAGGTGCTGTGCCTGGCGCTCAGAGACAAGCTGACATTCTGAACCTTATCTCCCTGCAGGCTTGCTCCCAGAGTTTCTGAGATCAGCATGGCAAAGGCTCAGGAGCTACATGCTCAACTGATACCTCTTGTGACAGCCCACGCCTCAGAAATCCTACAGCCCACTGACCCGACCCTGCTAAGTGTTTTAAACATTTTAACAGGAAGTATGTAGAGAAAATGGTCTAACTGGTGAGATATCATAATTAAAGTGATAATGGTAAATGCAGGCTAATGCTCTGCTAACTTCATATATTGAATTTAATAGAGGATCAGCTGATGTGGCATATGAAATATGGGAGAAAAGACTAACAAAGAAGCCTGAAAGTTACTAATATACACTGAAGTTGAGGGAAGCCTTCCTTTAACCAGGGCATTGAATACTACATTGCTACATAAAAACACTGCATATGCTGGAATCTATTTACAAATTCAGTCAAAGCATTATTTTGGTGTAAATCCTGCAATCAGTCTATTAGAAATATAGCATAATTAGCAATACTGTCCTCCCTCTCTACCACGTTTGTTCTTACAAATTTAGAAAGTACATGTGCATACTTACGTTTTTCTGGCATTGAAACATTTCATTTCACCACAACTTTATTAAAATAAGAAAGTACATTTTGTCTGCCTTTGTTTATACAAAGGCAAAAAAATTATTTCATTGACTCGGGTTCTAAAATTCTGTCCAACTGACAAGCTGCACCAGTTTCCATAACATTAACTTTGATTAAATTTTACATTTCATAGCAGATTATTTATGTATACACCAAGTCATGGGATACTGTGGGAACACCACAATAACAACTTCAGACTTATTTCCTGATGACTACAACATACTTGTGTCACTAGTTCTTTTTAAATCACAGAATTTTGGAAGACTTGAATTTACCTCTTTTAGCACCCAAACCAGGTTTTCTGTTATTATGACTACATAAATAATAGGGAGAATACCTGGAACTTCCAAGCCCTTTGTCTTGGCCATTATTGACAGTATTTCTTTTGTGGAATGGTTTGCACTGAACACAGGCGGTTGATTCGCAGTCTTTGAAGTTGGAGGCAGGTATGATTTCAGTGCTGTGCTCTGTAGGACATCATTTATATACTGATCCAGCTCATCCTGGCTTTCTAGTGTGACATACATAAAAGAAAAGGTTTATTAAAGACATAATCTACCAGTGCTTTCTTTTTTAAATACACCACTCTATTCTTGCTTATACAGAAGAGCACACAAAAATGCAATAATATCATAAGCAAGAGATTTTTAAGTTGAAAAAATTGGAAATTTTTTTTTTAATCACTTTTTGACACTTCAAAACCAGTTACAGTTAGAATTTGTTTTCCCCTTTGAAAGGAAGCAAAAGGGCTTTTATCTTGCTAGTAGTCCAAAGATCAGGTCTTCCGCACAAACTCTTGTCTATGACTCCTCACAGTCTCTTCCTCCATCTAACCTCTTCCACACTCCCTGCCATCTGCTGACTCTTCAGACTCAGCTTTACGCAGCAGTTACTGGTCAACACCATACTACGTACGTGGGAAGAATATGCCCAAACTCTTTCTCCAAATTTAGTCATGCATGTACTGTCCTCAGACTGATGCATGAGAAACCTGAATGACTATCAACGTGCATTAAATAGATTCTGCATCGTAGGTTAACCCAGGCTCTGCTGATAGAACTTGAAAGAGAAAAAAACTGAAGTGGAAAATCACTACCTTTTTCACAGAAATCTGCTGGATAGCCTCCATATTCACTGTCAGGATTATTACGGCCTTCGTTAGGGTCGTCAAACAGTTTTACATCACAGTCTGGATCCAGGAAGCTCAGATACGTATGAGAAGAGGTGGTAAGAAATTCGGATAGCTTGCCTATCTTCACCCTGCAAATGTGAACACATGTTAGAGAGTATTAACATCCATTATTTTGATAATGCACACTGAGCTTTCAACAACTCCTCCAAAATCTATGAGGTGTGCTATCAAATCCACCTTTGCAAACTACGAAGCAGCAGATAACCAATACTAAGAAAAACAAATGCAAAACAATAGTTGCAGATCCAGCTGGGTACTTACTGCTCTAGCTACTAATTGAACTTAACTGTGTTACAGTAACAGCTACAGGCCTAACCCAAAGCCTAATTATGCAGGGTACTGTATGTTTATATGAAGAGAGACGCTGAACAAAGACCTAAACTCCAAGGATAACGCATGACAAACTGGAGCTGAGAAGTCCCCATAAGCAGCAGTATCTTTTCAAAGAACTGCAGTGCTGCTAAGAACCAGAAAGCACAGCTGATTTTCCGAAGAAGATACTGCCTGAGGGAGGGCAAGCAGAAAGAGAACAGGGAGGTACTGTGGCATCGTATTAAATTGCTCTTACATGTAGGTGAATGGAACGTGTAAGCTTACAAGTATTAATTGTAATTAATGTTTAAAATATGTCCAGTAACTGTGAAAGATAATTACTTCTTAAAACAAAAGCCCAGGCAGACCAAGTTTTTGTATTTCCAAAGGTTTGACATTAGTTTTTCCTTATCCATTAATGGCAGTCAGAGATGGTACACCTCTTTGGAGATACATCCTTCCCATTGCATCTGAAGTCCAGCTACCACTTGATCATCACATAGTAATTAAAGCTGAAACTTCTCTCTCTGCAGAGTTCCAGATAGTATACACTATCACAAGTTCAAACCTCAGGCTTGTATAGGACTGAACTAAAAAATCACGGAAAGACTCATTACCTTGCACCTCCAAAATAACCATCCTCTAATTTTCTTATGGTGGCAAGAACTGCTGGATGAATGTCAGTACCATCATCAACTAAAACAGAATAATGAAAGAGAGTGACGCTTACCAACATATTCTTAAATTACCATGCCTCAATAAAGTGGATTATTGAGTGTTCTCTACAAAGTACATCAGACAAATTTAAAACAGAACCCACAACTGCTATCAATACTGGCTTATTTAAAAAATCCCAAACAAACAAGCAAACAAAAAAAACCAACTCTGAGACAAGTTCTAAAGGGATTTCTCAAGAGAAAAACCAGGCCACTCAAGACAAGTTCCAAAGAGATCTCTATCAAATTTCTTTGGACAGAAATAGCGCGAAGATGATGGGGAGATGCAAGAATATAAAGGAGGAGTAAAACCAGAATGAAATATTACCATGTCACACAAACTCAGCATATACTTGAGAAAGTCGAACTGTACTTTTGATGTTAAAACTCAGATGTTGAAACAGTCATGCCACCTGTCTCCTCTCAAACCAACTCCCATCTTACTGCCCTGGATTGATTTACTCTACTTGAAACAGAGAAAATGAAGCTTACCAAGCATTGTGTGGGTGATGGGAAACGTCAGGGTTGGTCTCCCTGTCATCCTCCAACAAGAAGTGAGGTAAGCCAGTTCTGTCTTGAGCATCTCCACAATCATCTGATTGTCTAGAGCCAGATAGAAGTGATGCTGGTCAGTAAACTAGAGAACAGAGAAATATGGCATATGAGTAGTCGTCAGTGCTCTCCTTCTTTTTTTCTCTTTGTTTTCTCTCTTAACTCATTCACAAAAGCCACATGAACTGTTGTTGTGGTTTAACCCCAGCCGGCAACTGGGCACCAAGCAGCCACTTGCTCACCCCTCCCCCTGCAGTGGGATGAGGAGGAGAATGGAAAAAAAAACCCTCATGGGTTGAGAAAAAGTTTAATAGAATAACAAAAGAAGAGGATGATGATGATAACAACAATGATAATAATTTTCACATCTAAAGTGATGCACAAATGCAATTGCTCACCACCTGTGGAGGAAAAAAACAACCAACAACCTGATGCCCCGTCTGTTTCCGAGCAGCAATCCCATCTCCCAGCTAGCTTCCCCAGATATATACTAAGCGTAATGTCATATGGTATGAGATGTCCTGTTGGTCAGTTGGGGTCAGCTGTCCCAGCTGTGTCCCCTCCCAACTCCTTGTGCACCCCCAGCCTCCTCGCTGGTGGGGTGGGGTGAGAAGCAGCAAAGGCCTTGGCTCTGTGTGAGCACTGCTCAGCAGTAACGAAAACATCCCTGTGTTAGCAACGCTGTTTCCAGCACAAACCCAAAACACAGCCCTGTACAGCTACTGTGAAGAAAATTAACTCTATCCCAGTCAAAGCAAGCACAACTATTCTTGACAACACAAACTGCATGAATTAACCTCACAAGGCCTGTGACTGTGAAAAAGAAATCCAATTCTTGTGCAGAGTCCATTTTCTTGCACTTGTAGGCTGACTATGAAAGTAGTAAGCCATACAAATAAAAAGTAGACAATCACACCAAGTAAAATCTTCCAAATGATGAATTACAGTAACCTATGATCTGGAAGATGAACAATAACTGTGGAAGAAAAACAATAGCAACAAAAACAATAAATAGGCCTAAGTACATGCTGAGGACTGGGAACTAGTATGTGTATGTCTCCTGGGAACAATCTGAAAGTCAAGCAGAATACAGAAAAGCTGGCAATTACTGTGGAAAAAAGGTACATTAAATATTCCCACTACAGAGGAAAGCCAAGAACCACATTAAGAGATTATTATGGCTACTTCAGGAGCTGGAAACCAAAAAAGCTGGACAAACAATGAAAAGTATCTCAAATCAGCCACAACAAAAGTTAAGGAAGCACATAAGCCTTGGGGAGGGGTGGAAAAAGGAGGCTGGGATGTAAAATAAACATCAATTAGTAAGACACATAATAGCCAAGGAGAAAACATCCTGTAAACACATCAGGAGTAACAGGAAAACACAGAAACTGTAGGTCTGTTAAAGAAAGAAAGAAAGGAGGTAGGCAAAGAGGATACAGACAAGCTGAAGCATTCTATGCTGTTTTTACTGACAGAAGAGAAAGAGTGAATTATGACCTGTAATAGTACTTTTAACAAAGCAATAGGAGTCCAGCCCGAGTATGGGAAGAAAAGATTAAAGAGCATGTAAATTCAAGCTGGCAAAGTCCAGAGAAACTACTTCACAGAACTTAAGGAAACAAAACAATGCCTGAGCCACTCGCAATTAGTTTTGGTGATTCAGGAAGAACAAGGCCCAGAAATCAAGAGAGAAGCAAACACGCTGCCTGCCTTTATAAAGGAAGAGCCAGGATAAGATGATAGACCAGTCAAGCCCATTTCAGTGCCTGAAAACACAGGGAAACAAAGTAAATTTGAAACTGCCCAGATAATTACAAAATGATAAAACAACATGGTCAAACAGTCATATCAAATCTCAGCAAACCAGTCCAATTTCCTTCTTTGGGAGCAACTAGATCATAGGTACAAGAAAGTGGCTGACATCTCTCAACTTTTGCAAATTTCCACAGTAGTGAGCTGAAGAACAAACAACTGAGGAGGCAGAACTGCTTGAAAAAATGCCCTCAAAATGTAGTTGTTATCCATTTTTTTCAGAATGAGAGGGTATCTAAATCAGTCAGCCTTTGCCCCACACCTAATCAATGTTTTCATTAGAGAACAGGATGAAATACAAACTAGGAACCGACAAAATTTGTGGACATTACTCAAGATCAACACAGATGAGTTAACTGTTAACCTCAGGAAGGTGAAATTAAACATTAATTACACACACCCCCCTCCTCAAAAAAAGTCAGGGGGGAATGTCTGGCTACAAAGTACAACAGAAATGTTATGGAGGTTTTAGTCAAACATGGAATAAGCAGGACCTGTCAGTGTGCTGCTGATACAAAGATAATTGCCTTTTTGGAATATATTAATAGGCATGTCCATACTTGATACACAGCAAGATTTTGGCTGAAATACTGGGTCCTACTTACACAGTTAGAGGACAAAGAGGTATTTTGAAAGAAATCACAACTCTATGGAATTTGCAAAAGTGAAAATTGGTGTGGGGGAACAACACGACAAATCAACAATCTGTTACAAAGCTGCTTGTGATCAACTGACATGGGGAAGAACAGGAAGGAAGTCGCACTATTTGCAGTAAATCTGATGTTTTTTGGACATCACGAAGCACGGCAGAAGCCATCTATGGAGTCCACTGAATGTCTTCCACTGGAATTTAAGGACTAAATTAGTCAAACATCTATTTATGAGGGTGTGAGCATTCTTTATCCTGCTCCAGTTGCACATGTTTGGAGTAGGTGATCCCTTGGCCTTCTAGTACCAACTGCTAGAATTAGTTTACAGGATTGTGTCATATTTAATTAAATGTATAAATAAGAGTTAGTAATTTTGGGAGAATCCAAGTTTCCAGCTACATTGAAAAAGGCACTAAACAGAAAACAAAGACAGAAGAACCCCTTCTCAGCATTATTGACCCTTTCAACAATGTAAGACTAAGATTACATCTTAGTCTCTTGGGAGTTATAGTACTTGGCATTCTTATGTGAAACTAAATTTTCCACCAAAGCAATCAGTAGGAAGATATATTAAGTGACCTACTTCTGGAGAAACTATTTCATTAGCTAGAATGTTGGTTTGGGCAAAGATCAGTAACAACTTTGTACTATCAATTTGCTGTGTTCTCCTAAGCCAGAAGCCAAAGAAGCCAGACTCTGTATGACAGAAGAGAGATTTATCAGCACTCCTACCATGCTGATCATCCAATGCTCTTAAAAACCCCACAAAGCAAAGCACATGTGCTTTATCAGCCCCACTCTACCTAAAGTAGAGCGACAGCACGTAAAAGCAAAGCGCTTCACTAATGATTAGCCATAAAGTAAGCAGCGATTCCCTGCCAGCTTTACTCGCTCACCTGAGGGGTAAAAGCAAATATTTGATTTCTTATCACGTACAGCTTGGAGGTGCCTAACACTCCAATATGTCGGTGTGGCCGTCCACTTAATTTCATGTTCTTGTTCCGGCCTATAAAGAAAAGAGAAAAAAAAAGACTCACCTAACATTTCCTGTGTGGTTTTCCATTTTAGACAAGGAGATCTACTTCATTCATATTAGCAAGGCAGAAGACAAGTAACAGAGTGAGATGTTACACACTGGTCCAGTTTGTAGCAATCACCAATATCATAGCTAGAGTTCTTCAAAGGCCTCATTACAAATACAAATTTTGGCTTCATTGACCATGGGATTGGCTCTTTTAATTATAGTCATTGCTCAGCACCCAAAGCTTCCCCATCAAGAACAACAGGAGGTATGACCTTTCAAAAGCGAGGCCATTGACATGCAACAGAAATTGCAATGCTTCCACTGTAGAAACTTAAAAGTTCTTGCACACAAAAGGCTAAATCCAAACACAAAGTACATCCAAATACAAAGACATATTTTCAATCTTTTCATCAGGGTAATAAGCTCCACTTTTCTCAGTAGAGCTTACTAGCAAATGATCCTCACTGCACCCTTTGCTTCAGCAGCCAGGAGCTGACTTGAATCTGTCTGACAAGGAATATGAGCCAAACAACCATGTGCCTGAAAAAAATACCGCAGTGAACATTCTCAAAGAAGTCACTGTTAAAAACAATACACCAATGTGTCAAATCATCCTACTCACCCACACTAGTGAAAGAAAGCTATGATGAATTATTATGAAATAAATGTAAGCTTCAGCAAAGCCCTGCAAATGTTGCATTTGTTTAAAGTTCTTTGTGATAAAAAGACAAATTCTTTCCCAAGAACAGCACATGCAATTTCCTTTCTCCATGTAAAGGGCACACTTTCTAAGATTTATTTGGATGCTTCCAAAAAAGTTCCTGTTAAAACAAAACACAAAAAACCCCCAACAAAACCCACCGTCACCACAAAAATAACACTTTACTAAAGCTAGTTTCTCTATGGAAGTAGTTCCTGCAGGACAAAGAGTCAGTTCTTGCCTAGTTCCACGGGTACAAGGAAACTTGTATTTTGGTCACCTTTTCTAAAGAGGTAATATTTTTTTTTTCCTGTTGGAGTTCCTTATTTGAGACTGAAGTTCTAATTTTGTTAAGCCTCTTTGCACAAATGCATTTTTTTAAAATCAAAGAAATTGATTTAAATAAAATCAAAGAAATTGAGACAATATGAAGCAAAAAAACCCCCAAACCCAAAACATCACCCTTAAAAATTACCTTGCACAGCAGCAGAGAGGGGCATCCATGTTCAAATACCTACCCAGCATGGTGTAGAGGTTACTCAGGATGCGAGCTGGCTGCACTCTGAGTGGATGGATGTCAGCAATGCTCTGAACATTGATTCCATGGTCTTGTAAGAGATTCTTAACTTGATTAGATTCTGCCAAAACAGTTACTGCATAACAGAAAACAAAAACACTGGTAAGAACTAAAGTTCTCTTTTTAACTGACTGTCTCTACTGTCACCTGTCAACTACTGCATAGCTGACAAAAAATGCACAACGGCCTCACTCCTTTCTTAATTTATGAACCTGTGAGATCAAAAGGGTAAGAGGGTGTCAGACAGCTTTTAGCTCTCTGCTTTTCAACATGTCTTGCCATTCTTGTCCACTTTGGATCCCTGGGTAATTCAAGTTGGAAGAGTCCCTACAAGGTCTCTAGTCCAACCTCCTGC